TCTCTCTCTCTCTCTCTCTCTCTCTCTCTCTCTCTGTTGTATGTTGTTTCTTTCTCTCCTTCTTTCCTTCCTTCTTTTCTTGCTTCCTAGCCTCTTTTTTCTAAACAAATTTGAATTAAGTCCGTCAGGGGCCCTTCCTAACCCAGGTACACAGACTTTAAATTACTGCCTCCATTTGGAACATTTCAAAATAAGAGAGCCAGGCTATCTGGGAATACTGAAAGCTTTTTAAAAGCAACATGCTATGATATGGGCAGTCACGGCTCTGTGAGTTTTCTCCTTTCATCCCAGGAGTCTAGACTGTGGCCCCAAATCCCACCCTACACCAGAAGGGGCTGAGAAATTCATCTCTCCAGCTTCTGTTTGTAATGAGGCATGAAGATGCTGCTCAGCCGTCTGCTTTCTCGAGTTCCCGGGGCCTGAGCTCCTCCAAGCTTGCTGGGAGGCAGCTGAGCAGCGCTCAGGGCTCAGCAGCCCTGCAAATCAATTCATCTCTTTTGCAAATTGTTCACCGGCTCTAATGAGTTGGCAAGGCACAGAGGAAGTCCTGCGTGGCTCCGTGTCCTTTGCAGTGACAAGACTCTCCCAGAGCAGGCTGAGACATCGCGCCTCTGCTGAGGAACAAATCTATTAATATTTGGAAAGAACATCAGATTGTGCCCAGTAGACTTAAAGTTTGGTCAAGAGAAACTCACTTGTCTGGGATCTAAAAAAGAAAATAGTTTCCTTGGCTCTCTATGTTCTTTCTCTCCTGGGTAATTTCCACGACCCTCCACTGCAGACTAGGGAGCGGAGTTGGCAAGAAGCAAGGGGTTGGGGGCCTTGCTCAGAGGCACCAGACGTGCACCTGCCACCCACCTGGAGGCTTAGAGACAAGGTCTGATGTCACTGGGAGAGGAGAATCACACAGATCTGCCATTGCTGGGATATCAAGTTAGGATACAATTTCTAGAAGTTTCTATGAAAAACGTGCAATGCAGAACCCAGAGATCCCAACAATTTCTGTTCTGGACCTTCTGAGAGACCCTTGTCTGGGTCAAGGGGATATGGGATATGTGTTGAGGAACAACGGACAAAAACAAAGTATCGAAAGTGATTGAAGTCCCCATTCGTAGAAGAGCTGTTCCCATCCAGAGAGCTCCACTGACAAGCTTGAGATAGATACAGGGATTAGCAGTTGTGGAACACCAACATACTCCTGCGTAAGAAGAGCTAGTTGCACAGAACAACACACAGGGTTAAAGCACTGGTGTCACACATGCACACGCAGCCACACAAAGAGAGAAACCTATCCAGCTTCACTCTCCAAACAGCCGTCTACCTGGGGAGGGTGTTGGGTTGGGTGTGGAGTCAAACTGGGAACACTGCTGTGGTACTGAAATACGCTGAGAGGAGCACTGGCTGAGATCATGAGTGTGAAGTAGGAGAAGCATGAGCCCTTGGGACGATAATTCTCTAGGGGGAGCTTCATTCACTTCTCCAAGTTCCTTCTCTCTGCCTCCGCCTGCCAGATGTGCCCTCCTCGGTTCTTGCCAAGCTCATGCCTGCAGTGATCTCTGCAAAACCTGAATGGGCTGATCTGCACCTTCTCTCACTCCTCCAGGGCCTCCTGCTGCTCTCAGGAGACAGATGGCTTCCCACTGAGGCCAGCAAGGCCCCACGGGTATTCTGCCCCTCGGGGACACCCTGGTGAGCCTGTGGCTTCTGACTATCAGGCACAGGCTGCTTCTCCTTCACGGACACCACACCTGCAGCTGGCTCCTAGTCAAAGGCTCCCCACTTTCAGAAATACACTCTTTGCAGCTGCTTGGGAAAACCCACTCCCATAGTCCTCGGAAGGCCAGGCTCTTCCAGGAGGGTCTTGGCAAAATGGCGCCTGTGGCTTCTCCCAGCCAGCTCTGTTCAATGTAGAGTTTACATCTACACAAGTCAATGCTTTACAAAAGTTATGGAATCACTACAGTAGACAGCACATGAGTGTCCTATGGACAGAATAAAAGCAGAAGAGTCCCAGAGAAGGTTCCCCACCGTGGAGGAAGAGGGGAGGATGGTTTTAAGTGATTAAAAGCACAGAGTAAACTGAAACTACAATACACATTGGGAATGCTTTCTCTTTCCTATATTCTCTTAAACTTCTGATTTTAGAAAGAACAAAGTCTCAGGTAGGTTTTTCCATGTCTGCACTGCTTCTCCAATACTTCTTCCCCTCTTTAGCAGATGGAGTATACCTAAAACTCATGGCGTTCAATTCACAGCGGATTCTGGCTAGCACGTATTTGTCAAAATATATTATTTACAGCGTTTTTATCTTTTTAACATTCCCCTAAT